ACAAATCAAAGACTTTGGTATGACATGTGCTTTGTAGTAGGGTTCTATAAATCGACTTTCGAATAATCGAACAATCGACTTTTTGTCGAAAAAAGTCGATAACTCGACTATCGTCTGTGGATAAAGTCGAAAAGTCGAATAAAGTCGAAAAAAGTCGAAAAAAGTCGAAAAGTCGTAAAAAGTCGAAAAAATTCGAAAACTCGAAAATTGTACAAAAAAGTCAAAAATATGGAAAAAAGTCAAAAACTCTAAAATAGTCGGAAAAACTCGAAAAAAGTAAAAAAATAGTCGAAAAAAATTCGAAAATAGTCAAAAAGTCGAAAAAGGTCGACTATTTATAAAATACTTATAGTCGAAAAGTCTAAAATACGACTTTTAATTAAATGAAAAAAGTCGAAAAGTCGACCATTAACTAAATGAAAAAAGTCGACTTTTCGTTTCAACTATAGAACCCTACTTTGTAGCCCTCAGTTCAAAAACCCTAATTTTGGATTATGCCAGTCTTGTAGTAAATGTGCGAAATATGTATGTATGTACGTATGATGTGTCTTTAATTTTATTCTTTAAATACATGATGATATAATTCACCACACTCTTTATTGTTTATTTAAACTACTCCCCAAAGTATGCTTCAAAAATTTTACTTATCACACATCTACACTTCTACCACACATTAGAGGCTCATGAATAGTGTAGCATAGTTTTAGAATACAAAATAAATTGTGCTTATTTTTGTATTTTTCCAAAATGTTTAATGTTGTATAAATTATATGATGCAAACATGTGGTTTTACAAGCCCACATGGCTTTTGCAAAAACAAAAAGAAAAAATATACAAAAATAGCAAACTTAAGCTATAAATAAATAAAATGTTGCTGATTTATCACTGGAACTGGTAAAAGGATATTTTAAACATGTGTTCATACACAAAAAGGATTGACAAACATGTGTTTTTCGTAGAAGAATAACTAAAATTTTAATTTCGAATAGATTGAAAGTAATAGTGCAGGTGTAGGTGGAATATGTTTTGTGGTTTATTTTTTTAGGTTTATTTGACCTTCTTATAAACAGTGGTTTTGGATTGAGAAGTAAATTTTGATATTTACTACAAGACTGACATAAGTCAAAATATAGGGTTTTGAATAATAAAAATTATGGCCCGTTCTAAAGTCATTTATTTAGTTTAAAATATTGCTCCTACATCCACCTTAAAGTATATCAGAATCATTATATGAGTCGATATAGCTATCCGTCCATCTGTCTGTCTGTGTGCCCATGTAAACCTTGTGCCCACGCCATTTTTCAAATAATTTGATGAAATTAGGCACAGGAAAATGGATAAATTGGGTCGATTATTTTGCCTAGGTCTCATACAACTTTACCTACCGAATAGGGCTTTTGAGCTCATATTTATGTTAAACGTTTCTAGTATCTCTACAAAAATCTGCAACAGTTTTATACTGCCGGTCCACACTAGGAAACTATTTAATTTTGATTTCACGTGAAAGATAAAGAAATATCATTCATCCCTCTCGTGGTACGGAGTTTCCCATACTCGGAAACTCGTTTTGTTTTGTTATTCTTCTCATTCGTACAAAAACAAATCAATGCAATTAACACGTAGTTTCTGAAACAAAAGTTTCTATGTATAGACATTAAGGAAACTTTAAAAGAGAATTAAGAAAAAGTTTCTCAACTAAAGTTTCTGTGTGGACCGACACATGCAAGCGTTAATGATAATGCGATAAGTGTTAATGATAATGCCGATAAGCCTCCATAAAAAGTCGCCTTCAGAAAATGTTTTCACGGCCAAAATTTAAAATGAAATTCTCCATTAATAGCTTTAATGTAGACGTAAATCCTTACGGCTGTATTTATAAAAACTTATTTTAGGTTTATTAAACAATTTTAGGCAAAATTCAGGAAAATCGTATTTATAAACGTGAAATAGCTTAAAACACCTTCAATAAACCATTGACAATTAGAAGAATTTTATTGTAGGCTCGACCCTTCTTTAAGCCAACAATAACTTGATTTTTAACAATTTTTTTCTCAGATAAAGATTTTTCCGGTAATTTTAGGTTGATTGCGAAAAGTAATTATGGTTTCTTTTAAAATAAAATCTAAAAATTCTAATTTTAACGTTTACAAATTTGTAAATAAAATCCCAGAAAATTTTTAAACGATTATATTTTGAGGAAAAAACTCAAATCTAGGCATTATTGGATTAATGCATGAATATTTGACAATATTCCAATTGTCCAGCACTATTTTTAGGCAATTTGGAAATGCCCGTCTGTCAACCAAATGATGGACAAAATCATTTGATTTGGCCTTTTCAAAGTTTGTTGGTTAAATATAATGCCATAAAGTAATTAACCATGTAAATTATATTGATTAGTGTTATACTAATGCAAAATATATTCGCCGGCATTAAAATTAGTCAAATATCAAAGAAATTTATCAATATTTGCAAAAATTTATCAAAAATTACAAGGAAAATAAGTAAAAATAAGAAAATATGTCATAGTGATGTATATTTTGTCGCAAAATATCCGTTATTCGGATACTTCTAATAATAATTAGAAATTATATGTTATATTTATACATCTGAACTAAATAGACATTTATTAAAGCCATATATATATTTATTTTTCTTAAAAGTTTGTTTTTATTGTCAAAAATCTATTATAAACAAAAATATGAAATTAAGAAAACCGAATCAACGAATATTTTATCCTAATTGTACGCAACACTAACACATAAAATGACAGCCATATTGTACAGTGCTGCCAACTTAAACATAAATCAGCACAATACGTTTATTATTTGTTTATGAATATCACAATTTTATTAATGGTTTTTAAGGCTAAAGTGTACTTTAACTATTGAGTGCATTAAAAGCAAAATAAGATTTTTTTATAAATACAAGCGTTATACTAAAATTAATAAAGAATTTCGGAAAGTGGAATCGATTCTTATGTTACCACAATTAACTCATTTGTTGGATTTTTCCTAAACTCTTTTATTGTATATGAATAGTAATATGAAGGTCGAGTGGTGGTAGTAATTATTTTAATATAATTAATTTTTAAATGATTTATAAAGTAATGAATATTGATTTTTTGTAAATTTAATTATGGTAAATTTTTGACCGATCATTCTAAGATTTTACAAATATTTTGGTTTCAATAAAATTGTTATGTTTAATATCAATACTTTCTAAGCCTGTTATGAAGACTTTGATCCATAATATTTGACAGAAAGATTTTAGATCCTATAAAACTAGTTCATGATGAATTTCATCTCTGTACTGGTATTTTTAACCCAGTTATGGCCGTTAATGTCTTTCTACGAGGAGGACCATATATAAGGGATAGGGTAAATTATCGCCATAAACTGGCAGGGATATTTTAGTTCCCCTAAAACTTGTTTATGTCGAATTTCGTTGTTTTACTATTATTTTTTGGAGCAAGTTATGAGTGTTATAGTCATTTTCATAGGGAACCTTATATCGGTAGGGTCAATTATGGACCGATCCTCATAAAATTTGGCAGAGATACTTAAGTTCCTCTTAAAATGGTTTATATATAATCTCGTTGCTTTACTATCATTTTGAAGCAAGTTATTTTCTGAGAGGGACATGTTATGGGGGTGTAGGGTCAATAATGGAACGATCCTCATAAAATTTGGAAGAGATATTTAAGTTCTCCGAAAACTTGATTATGTCGAATTTCGTTTCTTATTATCATTTTAAAGCAAGTTATAATCGTTAAAGTCATTTTCTGAGAGGGTCCATTACCAAATTTTATGAAGATCGGTCCATAGATCTTCATAAAATTTGGTAAAGAGATTTTTGTTCATATAAAACAAGGACGGATATTACCCATTTTCAATACCAACAAACTGCATAGATAGACAATATTTATGCAAAATTTCAGCTATATAGCTCTTCTCGTTTGGACTCTATCGTGCTTTCAACAGACAAAAGGACAGACGGACATGACTAGATCGCCTTAGTATTTATTAAGGACCCAGAATATATATAATTTTGTGGGTCGACGATCAATATGTCGATGTGTAATAAACAGAATGACAAAACCTGTCTTGATGGTGGTGTTTTTAACCCAACTATGAATTTTTAATTTGTTTTTCGGGGCACATGTATGGGGCCACTTGTATGGGGCTACGCGAAAACATGGACCGATATGGCTCATTTTCAATACCAACAAACTGCATAGATAGAGAATATTTATGCAAAATTTCAGCTCCATAGCACTCACGTTGAACTCTATCTATGCTTTCAACGGACAAAAGGACAGATGGACATGACTTTATCGCCTTAGTATATAATAAGAACCCATAATATATGTAATTTTATGGGTCTACGATCAATATTTTGATGTGTTACGAACAGAATGACAAAACCTGTTATAAAAAGGGTATAAAAAGAAATTAAAGGCATTATTATTTAAAAAATAATCCATATTTTTAACATACTCACTGGTGTAGGGTATCATATGGTCGTCCATGCCCGACTATATGTCGTGCATGTCTTCCGACAATCTCCAATTAAACTACATTTTATGTAATTCCTTTCTTAAAAATGTCATAAAAATACATATGTTTGACGTCATAAGAAAGTGCATCTATGGCAAGTCCATTGCATTTTACTACATATAAATGTGTATTTATTAAAGAACTTTATTTTTGTACCCAGAGTTTCTCAGGCTTTTAAGTGATTTTATAAATCTAACAACAATTTTAATCCCATTTGATCTCATTATTTCTCAAAACTATTTTTTTGTAATTTTATAAAGTAATTTCAATTGTGTTTCTTTAGAACAAATAGAAAGGTTAACCATTTAACTTGCCTTCTCTCTTAAAATTCTCCTTTAAAAAAAGAAAACAACAAAACTTCATATATTTTTTAATAAACTCAAATTTAGTTTAAAATCTCAGCTTTATTTATTTTATGTTTTCTTTTTTTATTTATTTTAAACATTTATTAAAAATTTAAAATTGAAAGGAAAAACTATTTTAAAATATTTTATATTTATAAGGAAATCAATTTTGTTGTTGCTCTGGTTCTCCTTACAGTAATTCTTAAAATTATATTTGCATAAAAAATATGCAAATTTCGTTTGGTTTGATATTTGAACTCAACTCAAGTATTGGCAATACTTATCTAGTATTTGCTACATTTATAGTCCATTGATAACAACAATACAAAAAGTAACAAGTAAGAGTGTTGTATTCGGCTAAGCCGAATCTTATATACCCATCATCAAAGAAGATGAATTTCGTACATAGGACTTTATGAATTCATATTTTTTTTTATATAATATCAGGATTTATAATTTAATTTTATTTATGCAGAACTGTGTTATCATCTAGATCTAGAATATATAAACTTTTGTAGATCTGCATAGAGGGAAAAGGAAATATACACGCCTGGTACCAAATTGACACCAAACTATTTATTATTTTTTCAATAACATCCGTTGTCAAAGTATATCATACGTACGACAACACTATATAATGTTGACAACATTGCTACATAGTGACCTTACCACGTTTGTTAACATTTAACAACGGATGTGAATAAAATTTAGATTTCGACAACGAATTGTTGCAATGTTGACAACGTTTCGTTGTCAACATTACATAGAGTTATAGTACGTATGTATATACTTTAACAACGAATGTTATTGTAAAATTATAAAATTTTTGTTGTCAATATAGTATATTAGTATATTTCTTTTTCCCTCTGTGTATGATACTCCGATACTTCGATGTGTTACAAATTGAATGATAAAATGAATGTTGTGATGGTGGGTATAAAAAATATAACATATGTACATATAAGATAAATTGTTTAGATAAACATACCATAACGGTTTATAAATTGAATAATATTTTATATAATTTAATTTTACAATCACTTCGGAGAAACTTTTATTTTGTAAATATAAACTGTAATATGACGAGTACTTTGTCTGATAAAAATACGTATGAATGAATGTAATTCTTAAGCAAATAAGAGTTTCATAAATTTATAAAACTGACAATTAATCTTTGGGTAATACATATAGTAGTCATTACAAAATGTTTATATAAAAGCTACAAAAATGAATATTTATATAAACTAAAAAATCTACTACAATTCGTTGTGAGTTAGTTCACTTAACATTTCACAATGTATACAACTTTTATGGTTTGGTTCACAATTCTTCACAGTAATTTTAATAGAACACCTTCATTATATGAGGTTTCCAAATTCACAATAAACTAAATTTACAAAATGCCATGGAAAAGTTATTCCCTCTGGAATATTTTCATATTTTACAAACGTGGACTATCAATTACTGTCTGTACCGTGCAACTATTGACACGTATGCTGCCGGCTAAACATAAATTTGCACCACTTTGTGCGGTGGAACGTTTCCGTTGAAATCGTTTGCCACACCATTGCATGCCCTTGAATGTATCCCAGAATGCACGACGGAAATTTGCATTCATAAAACAATATGTGATAGGATTACAGCAGGATGATGAATACGCCAACAACTGTAGTGCACTTATGGACTTGTAGTCAATGTACTCGTAAATGGCTGAGCCAATGTACATGGCCGCGGTGTTTATAACATAGAGTGGTGTCCAGCATATAAAGAATTCCAAAACCAAAACGGACAGCATTTTAACAACACGTTTTTTACTTTCCAAATTCTTGGCAATATTATTTCTGAAACGAAAAGAAAAAGAGAGGAAAGGAAATTTAAAAAAATATGCAAAAGTAGTAAAAGCCTGTAAAATATTTTTCATAAGCATGAATGTGCAATATGACTAATAGTCATTGACTATTACTGTTACGAATAACAGTATCAGTATTGGAGAAATACCACCAATTTCAACTGCTATTGACAGAATTGAAAAAGGAATCAAAGAGACAAAAAATATCTAGATAAGTTGTTCATGTAAAAATAACATCCTTGTGGTATTTTTATCACAGAATGTTCTGAATATGTTTTTATAATGTAAAAGAAAATAAAGTTTTTCGATAAAAACAACTTTAATATTAAAGATTTATCAAAATTCCATTTAAAATTGGTCATTTTTAAGACTACTAACTACAGTATGGTTAAATTATAAAACATGTATGAATGTGTATATACTTTTATAACAAATTTACCTTCTTAACACTGATTCTGTGACCTTTAAACTTCTTTTGCTATTAAAAGATTTCTTAACATCCGTTTTGCTATTAAATTGTGGCACCACTTGCTGCACCATACAATAACAACGGGCATGATTATGTGGATGATTGTGATATTGCTGTTGCATTTGGTAACGATACATGGTTGCGGTTGCTGTCGATGTTGATGCTGATACAGCCGATGATGTTGATGGCAATGACATGGTTGCTGTTGTCATATTTGAATTGTTGGCGTTAATGTTTGTAGCTGCCGTACTGCCGCCACCACCGCCACTACTGCAACAGTCTGCTGTGCAAAAATTGCTGGTGGCACTGACTTCCTTCTCCGGTAGTGTAGTTTTTAAAGTGGCAAAACGCATACAATATAAGTGAGGACGTCCGCTGTATGTGTTACTAGAGGAGGAGGAAGAGCTTGAACGTTTACAGCATAAACGTGAAATGGGTTCTGAAATTAATAAAGGAAGGAAAAAATTTAATTTAAATTTCATAAGCAATGTCATGACATTTATTAAAACATTAAATTTGTTTTTATCATTAAATAATAAAAATGGTATTATTAGTATTAAAAACCAAATTAATACCTTTCGCATTAAATCTATTTTTGAATGCAGGTCTAATGTATTGGTTTATTATTCGAATTTGTTGATTTAAATAATAGTGATTAATTCATTATACTGGTTATTGGATTATTTATAAAAAATCAACTGAAAATTTCTCATTTTAGTGATTATGCATTAATGAAGTAGTCAATTACGTTTTTATTAAAATATTGTGATAAATATAACACGAGTAAATAAAATATAATTTGATTTTTATAATAAAATTTATTAACATTTCATTAACTACATTAAAAATGATAAAAAGAAGAACATTTTTTTAATTACAACCGATAAACGCATGTAGAAAATTGTATAAAAATTACAGTAATTTAAACACATAAATACCCAGCAAAACCTTTTATTACTAAAGGGCCCTTCAGACGATCACACTTTACGTATGACAAGTCTAATGAAAAGTTTTATGATTTATATTTTTTGTGTTTACACGATTGGTATAAAACAATAACAAAGTAAGATGGAAACAGCTGTTTCACTTTTTTTGTATGTGTTTACATAAAAATACATCCCTGATCTATTGCGACTTGCTTGTTTTTTATTTCAAAAAATGAAGAGAGCCATACGACTGTCAAATTTTACATCCGTATTTTCTCTCAATGTATTATGGTTTCATTACATATTGCGTTTAGACGATCCCATCTGTTCTCTTCTACACAAAATTTTGACAGATCATATTACTTGTGTGCTCGTGTGAAAGGGGCTTAAGTAGGACGTTGAAAAGTTTTTCTCTTGAGAGGAAAATATTAAATGAATAACTATGTATGTATACGTGTTGGCAATTAATTCCCATATTCATAAACGCTTAATAAAGCTGTTTATGGTTTATTGTAAGAATTTTGTGTGGAAAATGCAAGTAATTAATTCAAAATAACAATTAACATCTTTATGAATACGCGGGTAAGACAATATGTAGTTGTCATTTAAGAGTATGTTATAACCTAAGTTAAAACAATTGAAAGTCATTATGAAAGTAACTTTTGCTGAGTAGAAGCGCTATCGTGCAAGATATATTTCATTTAAAGTATTGTGCGCTTCAGTTTATTTTGTTTTATTTTGCGTGTAATTTGTTTTCTATTAAATAATTTGATGCAATTCAATCACTATTTGTTGCTGCTGTATATCAGATGCATATGTGTTTAATCTATTTTGATTAAATTTAATCGCATTAAACAAAATGATAGACAGGCATCGTATTGTTTTTATTAAAAGTACAATACAATATAAACTAGGAAAAAACAACGATACCTACATATGTATACAACTTAATGAAAACAACATGCATGATGTCGTGTGGCAGCATACATGCTATGCACTTAAGCTAGGGTAGTGCAAATAATAGGCATTACAAAAGGTTTTAAAACATTTAAAGTTTTATAAAACAATTGGTTTTTAAACAAAAACCGTTTTCTAAAACAAATACCTCCCTATTACTGCTTTTTTTACAAACCTGTTGTGTGTCAATTTTTATATTCGCATGCAATCAGTAGTAAATTACTGAGGCTTAAGACAACATCACGAAAATGTTCTCAATATTATTTATTCTCGCTATTACTGTTATAATCCTGATCTCATACATGGCCTGGAAGTGCACCTATTGGCAGAGACATGGTGTTAAAGGACCTCTGGGTGTGCCTATAGTTGGCAATATGTTGAAATATGTAATGTCTCGCCAGCACTATGGTGATGTGTATCAAAATATTTACAAGTGTGTAGAGAATAATTACAAAATACTTCGCATGCATTTAGACAAAAATTGTAAGTGTGTGTAATAAATATGTCTAATGTTCTCCTGTCTTAACTTGTCTAGTGAATACCATGATTTACCCTACATTGGCATTTATCGTCTGTTCAATGAACCTTGCATACTGTTGCGTAGCTCTGAAATGCTCAAAGAGGTGATGATACGTAGTTTTCAACATTTTCAGGATAATGTTTTGTGGGTTGATCCCAAACGTGATGTTGTGGCAATGTGTAATCCTTTTATAGCCAAAGGGGAGAAATGGCGTAAAATGCGAAATGAAATTGTACCCATATTCACGCCCAATAAAGTAAGTATGTGTTGTATATTTACATTCATATGTAAGTATGTAAGCCGCTCGTAAATACACCAATTAAGATTTTGCTTTTTTATTTTTGCTTAAGGTTAAATTTTCATTTCCCCATATTGAGAATGTCTGCAAGAAGTTGAATGCATATGTTGTGGATAATATCAATACGAATTGCTTTGAAGCGAAAGATGTAAGTAATGAAACATTGACAACAATTTATGTAGACATTAACAAATAAGAGCTAAGCGGCTATATTATTTCATAACATTTGGAAACAAAAATTAAAGCTCTTCGAAATTTTTAAAATCGTTATGGTTTAGATTTTATCGATGTTCAAAGTTTATATTTTTAAGATTTTTTAAACAGTTAAACAGTGAGACAAACAGACAGACATACGGACGGACATGACTTGATCCTTTTAGAATCTAATAAGGATCCATAACATATATAGAAATTTGTTATTTTTTTGACTAACTTTTTAATTTCAGAAATTTTTTAAATTGCAAAGAATTATTAGGGTAATGAGGACAAAATAAAATGTATGAAATATTCCCAAACAAGAGCATACCTTTTACATTCTTTAGCTTTAGATTTTTGAACATTTTAGGTAAATATAAAAAAAAAACTTTTAAACACACTTGCTGCCATTTTTTCTCATTTTATTTAAAATAATTTATGAAAGTTTAACATTTTCTAATACATTTCACATACAACTTTTCCCCCCATCTAAATAAGTAGTTATTTTCCAAATACACATTGGATGTGGTGGCCTCTGCTGCTTACGGCTTAGATGCACAATCTTTTACCAATAAAAATTCTGATTTTACCCAACTAGTAGAGAAGTTATTTTTACCCAATCCATTAAGTCTTTTGGAAACAACAGCTCTACTCTTTTCACCAACATTGGGTAAACTCATGAAATATACGTAAGTATGTTTGACAATCCCATTTGTTTAGCAGTCCCAATATAATAGTATTCCTTTGAAATTGTGGACGAAATGAAATAGGGATAATAAAATTATTTTGCAGCTACATACCAGATGGTGTAGCAATGTGGTTAAAAACTATTATAACAAACATATTAAAATTACGCTTAAACAATGATAATGGAAACTCTAAAGACCACATGGACTTTATACAGTGGTTAATCGAAAACAAGCAAAAACTTAATGAACCCATAGACCCGGCTACCATTGTGGGACATTGTAGTACATTTCTATTAGAAGGTTTTGAAACTTCATCATCTTTAATGGCCTTTGCAATGTACGAGGTGAGAGGAAAAGAAAAAAGTTTAAATGCAATAGTGTGCAAAAGCAATTGTGTCTCTCTATATATACATACATAATATGTATCTTTGTATGTTTCAGTATGCTACAAATCCTTTGGAGCAACAAAAAGTTTTATGGGAAATTGATGAAGTTTTAAAGCGTTATAATGGCCAACTAAGTTACGATGCTTTGCAGGAGATGACATATTTTGATGCTTCCCTATATGGTAAAGTTTTCCATTTTCTCTTTGCATTTGCATAACTAAATCTTAAAAAACTTTTTTATTTTATTATGCTGTGGCGGTTTGTTATTGCAAACGATAGAAACATTACGTCTGCATCCACCCATGATGGCCTTATTAAAACACTGCACCAAATCATTTAAATTGCCAGCACAAACTGTAAATGGCTCTAGTTTTAAAGTACCAGAAGGCATGGTATTTATAGTGCCGGTAAAAGCAGTACACTAGTAAGTCTTTAATTCTATTCCAAAACAAGATACAATTTCATTTCTTTGTATATGTAAATGTAAACAGTGATCCTGTTTTATATCCCGATCCTTTGGCCTTTAAACCAGAACGTTTTTTAGTGGATAAAGAAAATCGTCCAAGTTGCTCATTTTTGGGTTTTGGCGAAGGTCCTCGCATGTGTCCTGGTATGTTTGCAAAATTTAAGTTTGTGTTTTTAAGTAAAATTTGTTCTGTTTTATGTTTAATTTTTTTAAAGGTGGTCGTTTTGCTTTGGCCCAAACCAAAGCAGGCTTAGTTTCATTGCTGTCCCAGTTTTCCGTACATTTGCCTGACAATGCACAGCACAAACCATTAGTAATGTCAACAACTACATTTCTAACAGCTGCTAAGAATGGCATTTGGATTAAGTTTAAGCCAAGAACATAAAATGGTATTAAATTCTTTAATATAAATCCCTAAGTAAAATAAAGAGAATATGTTAATATAAACTTAAATAAATTTAGTTTGTAGTTATATGCCCTGCAGTTTGGGGTGTTTACTTCTAAATAGTGAGAAGTATAGAAAATGGTTTTTATTCATTACCAAGGATCTTATGTAGGATCTTCTATTATCACTTGAGCTCATTAATAAAAGTATTGGCTTCTTTTTTCCATTATAAAGAATAACTAATTGTCCAAAGACCCAAAAACCAAATAAACAAGCTTGCAGCTGTATTGTAAGGAGTCAAACAATAATTGTTTGACTCCTTGCAATACAGCTGGATGTATTTGTGTATAAAATTTTAGCTGTGCAAGTGTGTTGTTATTTATTTTGTTTTGCCTTGTTTTAAAAAAAAAATAAATATTTTTATTTTTAAAATAATGCATCAAATGCACACATGAGTATTCATGCAATGTACTTATGTACATATGAACATATTTCTTGTTGTTCCTCTTATTAAGAGAAGTTTATTTTTGAAAAAAAAATTGAACTCATTTATTGTTGTTGAAAATTGTTGTCTTTGTGTGTATGCATATCTCAGGTGGGTAGTAGTATGTTTGAAGGGATTCCAGGCCACTTTTTAATGACAGACATTGCAACCAAAATGTTCGAAGGTTCGATCGCTGTTTGGTTCGATGCAACCAGTTAATGAGTTCGATGACGTTCGTTTGATTGTTGCTTTAGCCACATACAACAACATTATATTTATTGTGAAATCAAAATAAAGTAGCCCGACGGTTCAAGGAGGTAGTTCCAACCTAGTGACCGACGGTTCAAGGAGATAGTTCCAACGTAGTGACGTTGCATATAATGGTTAATTGTTAGACCCGAACGAGTAAGTTTCCCTTTTAAAATCTTGTTTTACCACTGGCGGCTAGGCCGGTAACCAGACGGATAGAAGATAGGAGGGGTGGTAGGAATAGGGATAATATAGAAAGGTGAAGGATTTAGGATGATCGAGATGGGGAAAAAGAGAGTTAGGATGGAAGGTTGAAAGAAAGAGAAGGATAGATAGAAGATCCGAACAATATAGTTTACTTACGGTTTAGAGTTAGGTGGCAGACCCGTTTAGGGTTGCCACTTGTTCAAGAAGAATTGGCTTTATGACTAGTTATTCCAACATGGGCTTAGAAGATAATGACTTTTAAAGTTAAAGGTAAAAAAGTTACATGTTTCCACACACTAGGTTACTGGGGGGACACTAAAGTAACGATTGACTAGTCTATGGGTACATTAATGACTAAAGGATACATTAATGACTAATGACCCAAATATATACTTTTACTAATGTCTATCCACTATAGTGGTTTGACTTTAGTAAAAATTATAATCTTTTACGTGTGTACTGACTCCTGGTCGAACTGCTGGATTCATTCCAACCAAAATCGTTTGGTTGGTTGTTTGTTCGATCGACTCAAAAATTGTTATTTTTATAAAAAATTAATCGAACATGTATGAATAATTCCATATATGACCAGAGAGGGAATAGTGGTGATAAGCAGAAAAATATCAGACATAGTCGACCTTATTATATCCTAACCCATTTTCATATTTTAGCATTAATATCAAACTGTAACATAACTCCATTTTACATACATTTGAATACAATTAATACATTATAAACAAATTTTTAGGAATTGGATAGGTGAATTTACGTTCGTATAGAACTTATTTATGTTGAGTTTTATTAGGATTTTAATATGATGATCGTCTGCTTATTAAAGATGATCATTTTTATAATGTTTATTTCTTGTTTGATTTTTTAAAGTGCGAATGCGTATTTTTATTTACATTATTCTCTTCTTTTGTTTATATTAGAGTTTACATTTGTTAGCATGTGTCATATACTATATGCTAAGATTGTCGTTTATATGTATGTTGATATATTTGAGAGTTTCTATCATGTTTGTCCATGATTTCTACATTTAAAGAAAGTTAATATGGAGGCGTGAATCAAGTTCATTACTATCTTCAGTTACGTTAGTGCATATTTATATCTTAAATGAACTGATTCAATTAAAAAATTATCAAGTGTATGTTTATAGTTACTTCAATTCAAATATTAGAGAAATAAATAATATTTCAATATATGAATCCAAAGGAGTTAACATAAAAAAGTAGATTATTGACTTGTCATATATTTAAAACAAAATATTTTAACGTATTATATTCAGTATACTTCACTACTTTCCCAAGAACGGATCAATTGTTCTAAACATACTTTTTTAATTAATTAAAAATTTAAACATTTAAATTTTGTTAATTATACTATATTTGAAATAAACAATTAAAAATATAAATAAATTAAATAAAAAAATGCCTGAAATAAGTCATGAATCCACTCCAGGCAGTACTGCTGCCGAACAATCAACATTTAATGGTTTTATTAAAAGGGAGAAGAGCGCGTTTAAAAACAGAATTATCACATTATCATACAATATCAATAATGAACAATGTCTCATACCAGAAATATTGTTGAAAAAAGCTGGCAGAGAATTTATGGAGGAAGTCTATAAATTTTTAAAACTTAATATTGGCTTAAAGTTCAACGTTGAACTCCATGCTCTTTACGCCAAGCCCAACTTAGATGATTTAGAAAACACCCCATTAGATGTGAAAAGTTTTCAAACAAAAATGAAAGAAATGTTCGACATCAGCGAATTTGAAGTAAAATTTACCAACAATATTGGAAGCATTTTACAAAAAATGGAAGAGTTTCAGGAAAGAGACAGTGGTTGGACTTTAGTACAATTAATAAAAGTTGTTCTAAATATAAATAAGTATCAACCACTGAAGGGTTCATCCTATATATCACTACCCAAAAAATTGTTAATGAAGAACGCATGCGTAAATGTCAAAAATAATGATGAATTTTGTTTCAAATGGGCCGTGATTTCAGCCATAGTTAATTTGGAAACAAAGGCAAATCGTACATCAAATTATAAAGTGAATATTTTGTCGAAAAATATTAACTTGAAGGGCTATTGCTTAAATTTCAATGGGTTGAGCTTCCCATTAAAAATAAAGGATATAACCATTTTTGAAGAAAATAATCCATGTATAAGTATAAATGTATTTGGATATGATGAAGCAAAAAACATTGTTGTTGGGCCATACTATAAAACAAAATGCAAAAAGCCTAATCATATTAATCTTTTATTTCTTCAAAAAAGTATTGGGGATAATACCATGTGTCATTATGTATGGATTAAATCTATTTCAAGGTATGTATAATATAAAAAAAAAAACATATCCTTTTGACTATTTGTATTTTACTAATTTTACAGATTGATTAGAAACCAACAAACGAAAAGAAAAGAGAAGGTATTTGTATGTGATGATTGCTTACAACATTTTCATCTGATAGAAAAATTGGTAGCACACCAGAAGAATTGCGGTCAAAAAGTATCTTATGTTCCGGAAAAAGATAAGTCTACTTTAGAATTTCAAAACTATTGTAATTCCATGGATGTACCGTTTGTAGTATATGCTGATTCTGAATGTATATTTGAAAATATTCAAACATGCATTCCGAACATGGATTCATCATCGACAACATTAGTTGATAAACATATTCCATATGCATTTTCATACTACATTAAGTGTGCTTTTGATAATAGTTTAAGTAAATTACGTAGTTTTAAGGGATTTAACTCAGCAAAATTATTTATAGAGAATTTAGTATCAGATGCTAAATTTTTAAATGATAATTATTTAAAAAATATTATACCAATGGCACCCTTGACCGAAGAGGAAAATTTAGATTTTTATTCAAATAATATATGTCATATTTGCTCAAAAAATATTTTAAATGAAGAAAAAGTAAGAGATCATTGTCATTTAAGTGGAAAATATAGAGGACCGGCTCATAATACTTGTAATATAAATTACAAATTACCTTCATTTATCCCAGTTATTTTTCACAACTTTTCGGCATATGATTGTCATTTATTTGTGAAAGAGCTTAATAATATTGATGATGGTCCCATTAATATTATTCCACTCAATAAGGAGTTGTATATATCTCTTTCAAAAACTATTAATAGCGATAACGGTCGCAATATTGAAATAAGATTTTTAGACTCATACCGGTTTATGACATCGAGTTTAGATAATTTAGTTAAAAATTTAACTCAGGATGAACTGAAAGTCGTCAAAGAATTTCATTCTGACGATAAAAGTAAATTTAATTTGTTAATAAGAAAGGGTGTTTTTCCATATACATATATAAATTCAGTAGAAAAACTCCAAGAACCTTGTTTACCAACCATAGATGAGTTCTTTAATAAATTAACTGAATCAGAATGTTCTATAGAGGACTATGCACATGCACAAAAAGTTTGGAATACTTTTGAGTGCAAAACATTAGAAGATTACTTAATGTTATACTTAAGAAGTGATGTTTTATTATTAGCCGATGTATTTGAAAACTTTAGATTAGTCTGTAAAAACATCTATAATTTAGATCCATGTCATTACTATACGGCACCTGGTCTATCTTGGGATGCAATGCTAAAAATAACCAACATAAAACTAGATTTGCTTACCGATATTGAAATGATTAATTTTTTACAAAAAGGAATTAGAGGTGGAATTGTTCAATGTTCTCAAAGACATTCTGTTGCAAACAACAAATATCTTTCTGACTACAATGACAAATTGCCCTCTAAATATTTAACATATTTAGATGCTAACAACTTATATGGTTGGGCAATGTCTCAATCTTTACCAGAGTGTGATTTTGAGTGGATTGAAGATATTAGAAACTTTTCATTGGAAAGTATTCCGATAGATTCTGATACTGGATATATTTTAGAGGTAGATTTGATATATCCCATAGAAATTCATGATAGTCACAACAATCTACCATTTTGTTGTGAAAATAAAGCACCACCCAGTTCTAAAGAGAAAAAATTAATTGTGGATTTAACCAACAAACATCATTATGTAATCTATTATAAGAATTTACAACAATGCTTAAACCACGGTCTAAAATTAAATAAAATACATAGAATCCTAAAATTTAAGCAGTCTAACTGGTTAAAAAAGTATATTTCCTTAAATAATTTTCACCGAACAAATGCAAAAAATACATTTGAGAAAAATTTTTTCAAACTGCTTAATAACGCTGTATATGGTAAAACTATGGAAAACGTTGATAAACGTAAAAACATTAAAATTGTGAGTAAATGGGAAAATGAAGGAAAAAGACTTGGAGCTCGTGCTCTAATAGCAAAACCAGAATTTCATTCTGTTAGTATATTTGAAGAAAATATGCTAGCAATTGAATTAAATAAAACGTATTCATTTTATAACAAACCCATTTATCTAGGTTTTACAATTCTAGAACTATCTAAATGGAAGATGTATGATTTCCATTATGATTATATTGTTCCTAAATACAATTCAAAAGCTCAACTTAATTATATGGACACTGATTCATTCATTTATACAATTGAAACGGATGATTTCTATAAAGATATAATTAATGATATCGATTCAAGATTCGACACTTCGGAATACGAATCTGATAATCGTTTTGGTATACCAAAAAAGAATAAGAAAGTATTAGGAATGATGAAGGATGAAAATAATGGTATACTTATGAAAGAATTTATAGGTTTAAGAGCTAAAATGTATTCATTTAAAACTGAAGATCATAAAGAAATCAAAAAAGCTAAGGGTGTCAAAAGTAATGTAGTTAAAAATTTAAGTCTTTCAGACTATAAGAACTGTTTGTATAATAAAAAAGTATATTATGGAAATATGATTATCTTTAAATCAAAATTACATGTTTTGTACACAGCATATATAAATAAAATTAGTTTAAGTTATTTAGATAATAAACGATTTATTTGTAATAATAATGTTAATACTCTTGCTTGGGGGCATTATAAACAAAAACTTTTAATAAATAATGATGATGAAGATCATGTTATGACCGATTTAAACATGATTAAAATGAAAGTAAATGACATCAATGATGCATCCATATGCAATGGAGATGAATATTTAATGGAAATAGAATAATAAGATTTTCCTTTTATATAAAAATGTTTAGACTTAGGCTAATAATTTTTAAGAAATTATATATCACTTAATATACATACATATAATATTATATTAACTTAAGTATGTTAGTTAAGGGAAATTTATAATGAAAAATAATAAAAACAAAAAACTATAGAAATTTCGTTTCATTTTAAGAATTTAGAACCAATAACGAATGTTTTAATATTGGTGTTACACTTGCGTACATCGAACTCATATATGAATATTATTGCGCAAGGTTATGAAATTTTAATAAAACAATTTATGCTGGAGATATTAAGTGTCCACAAAAGGGACAAACAAAAAATCGAAAGCAAATAAAAATAAACATTTTAACTGCCATATGAATGCCACACGATCGGATAACAACAAAAAATTAAACACACTCATTCAGTGAGTACGGCGCATACGTATATACAATCCAACATACAAACACAACAGGACAGACGAATTTAGCTAATGGAATCAGACTTAAGTAAAATGCAACATAAACATAAATAATTATCGATATTATTACGCAAGATTATGAAAGACAACTACTTAGAACAGAAGAATTTGGGTCAAAAACTCATTTTTGATAAATATTTGATTTTTACCTTAAAATATGAATTTTTACAAAGTTAAGTTGTAATTGAATTCTAATTAAGTTGGATTCAACATTAGTTGAGTTTTAATATAAGTTCAATTTAAATTTTTTGTTAAGTTATAGTTTTGTTCTATCTCAATTCGAGGCTGATTATTGTTTAGATCTAGTTCAGTTGGAATATTTTTGGACTAAAGAATCATATTTTAGTCAAAAAAAACTTAATTTTAGGAGAAAATGTATAAAATGGCTCTAAGAATGCAATGATTTGTTAAAAAGTCTATTTTTCTGCAAATTCTTGTTCATTTAAGTTGGAATCTAAATAATTTTATGTTAAGTAGCAGTCAAGTTGTAGTTTGTTCTAGTCCGGTTCTGTATAAATTACAGTGTGGTTAGGGCTTAGTTCTAGTTAAGTTGGGATATTTTTGGATTAAAAATCTTATTTTTAGTCAAAAACTTAATTTTTGGATAAAAATTAATTAAAACTACACTATGAATGCAATGTTTTTCGAAAAAGTATATTTTCCAGCAAATTCTTGTTCATTTAATGTAGAATTTAATTCGTTTATATTAAGTCGAAGTTAAGTCGAAGTTAAGTTGTAGTTTAGTTCTAGTCCGGATAAATTCCAGTTTGATTCTTATTTAGCTCCAGTTAAGTAACAAAAATATTTAAAATTTTACAAACTAATTTAGTGAACATGGAGCATTCGTATGATTTCGACATGGACAGACATAATTGACTCAGATGAAGAGAAAATCACATATTTACAAAAAATATTCATACATATATACATACGTATGTATATGTACATACATATGAATATCATCTGTCTTCTTAATAATGTTTATTATTCTTATAGTTTTTTTTTTTTTTTACAGTTTCAAGTGCGATTGCGTATTGTTTTCATTATCCTCTTGTTTTGTTTATAATTTAAACAAACTTTTTGACTTCAAAATAGTGAGTGTATTAAACATATATGCTTTATTACTGATATTTCTGTACGCCTGGTGCTAACCATTCGATATTAATGCATTTTATCCTACAAATACACTAAATATACTACATGGACAGACATAATTGACTCAGATGAAGAGAAAATCATATATTTACAAAACAATGTACACATATATATACATATATGTATATGTACATACATATTGATATCATTTGTCTTTCTTAATAAAGTTTACTGTTCTTATCTGTGTTTTACAGTTTCAAGTGCGACTGCGTATTGTTGATATTTCTGTACGCCTGGTGCTAAACATTCGAGATTAGTGCATTTTTTTAAAAAAAGTGTTAAATTCTCGGATTTCACCCATTAAAATTTAAAATTTACTATGAAAATTTCAAATTTTAATTGCCCATAAAAATTAATTGTTGCTGTGCATACAATCAAAGTAGTTGTGTATTGAATGTGATTCATATATTTTTTTTTTTAATTTATAAACAAAATATTTTGGCAAAAAAAAAAAAATTTGCTTAAAAAAAATTTTTTTGAAAAAAAAAAAAAAAATTTTTAAATTTTGGCAATTAAATTTTAAATTTTCATAGTAAATTTCAAATTTTAATTGCCCATTAAAATTAATGGTTGATAAACGTACATTACACAACTACTTTGATTGTATGCACAGCAACAATTAATTTTTATGGGCAATTAAAATTTGAAATTTTCATAGTAAATTTTAAATTTTAATGGGTGAAATCCGAGAATTTAACACTTTTTTAAAAAAAATGCACTAATCTCGAATGTTTAGTACCAGGCGTAGAGAAATATCAACAATACGCAGTCGCACTTGAAACTGTAAAACACAGATAAGAACAGTAAACTTTATTAAGAAAGACAAATGATATCAATATGTATGTACATATACATATATGTATATATTATATGTGTGCATTGTTTTGTAAATATATGATTTTCTCTTCATCTGAGTCAATTATGTCTGTCCATGTAGTATATTTGTAGGATAAAATGCATTAATATCGAATGGTTAGCACCAGGCGTACAGAAATATCAGTAATAAAGCACATATGTTTAATACACTCACTATTTTGAAGTCAAAAAGTTTGTTTAAATTATAAACAAAAGAACAGGATAATGAAAACAATACGCAATCGCACTTGAAACTGTAAAAAAAAAAAAAAAACTATAAGAATAATAAACATTATTAAGAAGACAGATGATATTCATATATATGTACATATACATACGTATGTATATATATATGAATATTTTTTGTAAATATGTGATTTTCTCTTCATCTGAGTCAATTATGTCTGTCCATGTCGAAATCATACGAATGCTCCATGTTCACTAAATTAGTTTGTAAAATTTTAAATATTTTTGTTACTTAACTGGAGCTAAATAAGAATCAAACTGGAATTTATCCGGACTAGAACTAAACTACAACTTAACTTCGACTTAACTTCGACTTAATATAAAACGAATTAAATTCTACATTAAATGAACAAGAATTTGCTGGAAAATATACTTTTTCGAAAAACATTGCATTCATAGTGTAGTTTTAATTAATTTTTCTCCAAAAATTAAGTTTTTGACTAAAATAAGATTTTTAATCCAAAAATATCCCAACTTAACTAGAACTAAGCCCTAACGACACTGTAATTTATACAGAACCGGACTAGAACAAACTACAACTTGACTGCTACTTAACATAAAATTATTTAGATTCCAACTTAAATGAACAAGAATTTGCAGAAAAATAGACTTTTTAACAAATCATTGCATTCTTAGAGCAATTTTATACATTTTCTCCTAAAATTAAGTTTTTTTTGACTAAAATATGATTCTTTAGTCCAAAAATGTTCCAACTGAACTAGATCTAAACAATAATCAGCCTCGAATTGAGATAGAACAAAACTATAACTTAACAAAAAATTTAAATTGAACTTATATTAAAACTCAACTAACGTTGAATCCAACTTAATTAGAATTCAATTACAACTTAACTTTGTAAAAATTCATATTTTAAGGTAAAAATCAAATCTTTATCAAAAATGAGTTTTTGACCCAAATTCTTCTGTTCTAAGTAGTTGTCTTTCATAATCTTGCGTAATAATATCGATAATTATTTATGTTTATGTTGCATTTTACTTAAGTCTGATTCCATTAGCTAAATTCGTCTGTCCTGTTGTGTTTGTATGTTGGATTGTATATACGTATGCGCCGTACTCACTGAATGAGTGTGTTTAATTTTTTGTTGTTATCCGTTCGTGTGGCATTCATATGGCAGTTAAAATGTTTATTTTTATTTGCTTTCGATTTTTTGTTTGTCCCTTTTGTGGACACTTAATATCTCCAGCATAAATTGTTTTATTAAAATTTCATAACCTTGCGCAATAATATTCATATATGAGTTCGATGTACGCAA